TACAATGCTTTAGACAAACACACACACACACACACTAACTAACTAACACACACACACACAAACACACCATGGCGGCCGTCGGTGGCGCTTGGCGGCAGCTACCACCTCATGGTGGTGGTGGTGGTGGCCCTTTTCTCAACTTTTCCGGCTGTGAACTTTGCAAACAACTTCTAAAAAAAACACTCATACAAGGATCTACTCACACAGCCACCACCTCACGATGGCTTATGGTGGCAGGAAGTGGTTTCAGGGCAACAACCACCATGGTCGGCGGCTATGGTGGGTTTTCTCTCGATCTCCGGCTAAACTGTCACGCCCACACGGACAAACATAATCAGCAACAGCTTTGCAAGCTAATATGAACAAGAAACAACACAGTACCCTCACGACTCCGATTGCAAGACGCACCGAGCCACCCACCTGGTGGCGTTTGGTAAAGGCAGCAGCAACTCAAGTGGCTCATCAGCGACACAACGGCGTTGCAACAACGAACTAGAGAGAAGAAGGGGCGAAGAGGATGAGCGGAGACCACCTTGGAATGAAGCAATGCCCACATCAAAAGTGGACGACACAAGGGCCACCGACGTCGCTGTGGATGAGGCGTTCGGTGGTGGCTTCATCTTCTTCACAAAGGCAGTGTAGCGGCGACAACACTCCTGTCGGTCTTCGACGGTTGTTTATGACTTCACCGGTAGCAGTTTATGGCGATGAAACAGTGGAAATGGCGTCGTTATCGGCAGTAAGGTGGAACGCCGACTCTCGGAGTCTAAGGCTTCAGTTGCGGTGATCGTCAGAGCTTCACTTGATCGGAGTGTGAGAGGGGAGAACGGGATGTTGGCGGCTGAAAACATGAGTGGCGGCCGATACAAACGTAGGTTTAGGGTTCACTTATCACTTATATACCCGGTGCCTTAAAACACATTCCCATATTAACATAATTGATCCCTCCTTCCTTCTTTTCTTTCATAATAACTCCCTAAATTACCAATAAACTCTGCAGCCTTCAAATTTTTTCAATTTAATCACGAACTTACTCTTTTAACCCCGACTTATAAAATTCTTCACCAATTAGTCCGGGACTCACATTTACTAATTTATTTAAATAAACGGGGCGTTACATCATCAATATAGAAAATTCAAATCTGAACATCCTAAAAGTGATGAAAAGACCGAATTTCCCAACTGGTTTCTTGAAAAGGTAATAATAATTAACAAACAAATATCTTTGATAAATATAACGAATCAAGAATACACAACACATCAACATTTGTTTAATAGGTTTACCAGATGGAAAAAAGAAAACTGTCCAGAATTCCACAAAGAGTTGTCAGCCCTTTCAATGGGTGCACAAATGGATGTTTATGCTTACACCGTGTGCATAGTCAATGGTGTTAGGTTTGTGGTACTTAGTCGTGATGCACAACGCAAAATGCAAAACTCTGGGGTTGTAGCGGCTGGTGAGAATGGAGAGAAATATTATGGCCAGTTAAAAGAGATTATGGAGGTGCAATCTCCATATGGTTATTTGACTGCAATATTTCGGTGTAATTGGTTCGATAGGGGAGATATTCCTGACGATAATTTCATATGTATCGACACGGAAACAGAAGCGTACCAAGATGATCAACTCATATATGCTTCGCAAGCCAAACAAGTGTTCTATATTCGCGAGCCTGTTAATCATCGAAGAAACCAAAACAACAACCCTGTTGTGTCATCGAGCATGTAAATCATTGAAATATTTGGGATCTACCATCCGACAATGCCCGTGTCTAAAATGCTTACAGTGACTCTGTCCAAGATGTCGACAATGTGGAGGCCGAAAATGTTGACATAGTTCAAAACAACTCTTCATCTGGAGCTAGACTTTTTATCGACTTCTCACAATACTTTTAAAACAATGTTGATGTAGCTCAAAACAATGTTGATTATGATGATGATGTCGAGACTGAAGTACTTCCGCCAACAGGTAGAATCGATAATGTTCCGATGAAGAGACTGATTATGATGATGATGATTCTGATTATGATATTGATGAAGAAGACATTGAAATGTACCTTTAATTCATATTGTTTGTCTAACTTTTATTTATGTTGTTTGTCTATATTATATATCTTACAATTTCGCAGGATAACTAACTTTTATTCATATTGTATTTCTATATTGTACATCTTGTAATTTACAGGCTACATATGAGGTTTACTTGGGCGATACTCTTGGCCATGATGGCCGATGTTATGGGGCTTGGACATGGAGGTGATGGAGTGGGGATCCACCACCTCCAGTAGGCTTTGGTCATGGTCAGCACGAACAGGATGATGAGTTTTATTATGATATATTTATTAACTATTTTTATTATTTTATAATAATTTATCGTGACTAATATTTTTAATTGTATTTTTTCAGCCGAGCTTCCAAAAAAAGAAGGGGCATGTCAAAAAATATCGATCTTGGAAAGTTGATATAAGCAAACAAGGGCAAGCCCATGGATTTGGATTTCGACAGGGAGATCACATATTCCCCTATCAGAAAGCGTGGTAATTGGTTCACACATGAAATTGAGAGGTATTTGTGAAACAACGTCCATTTGAACGTATCTGTTTGGGAGAATGTTTTCCCCGCCTTAAGGAACGCAACAGTTATCCATCTAAACGTAACTTGGATACAATTTTAAGTTTAGTTGTGATCGTTATTTAATTAACTTTTTTTTTTTTTTTTTTTTTTTTTTTTTTTTTTTTTGCAGAATAAATTTGATTTCGATAAGGTTAACATGGATTAGGAGCATGCTCAATTGTTGCAGAGCATTGATTCAACTCTTGCAAAAGTTTACAGTGGCCGGAAAAGTAAAGCTCATTCTTATTTTAAGGAAATCGTGGGGTCTGCAGATATCCCAACCGCGTTAAACGACCCCCAATGGTATGTCACATGAAAATTGGGCGAAGGCAGTCGAACATTTTTAAAGGCCAGAATTTTTAAGGCGTCCGACGTCAAACACGATACAAAACAAGTAGTTGTAAACAGAGGGGGTCGAGCTCATACATGAATTTTTAAGGCGTCCGACGTCAAACACGATTCAAAGAAGTAAGTTATGATATATTTAAATATTTATTTAAAATATAAGTAATCTAATTCTTAATGTTAAATAGGATATCAGTCGAATTGAAGTTTTCGTTAGGCTAATTCCAATCGACAAGTGGTATTTTATAGCCTTGCAGTTGAGCAACGATACGTAAGTGGTTAATTTATATTTTCATATAAGTGTTTATACCATCAAGGGTATTTAGTAATCTAATTTTTATGCTTTTTATTATTTTTTGAAAATAGCGAATGCTTTACTCCAGGAGACCAACCAACGAATCCAAGCTACTTCTGAAGCAAGCGGTTTAACACCCACTGATATAAAAAAAATTGTTTTGAAAGAATATTGGGTGTTCAACGCGGACATATCAGAGGCCTTGAGTGTTAACCCCCAACCGTTGTGTCCATGTACGATCAGGAACAACCAGTGACAAAAGAACAACCGCAATCACATGTAATTGTTAGTTTAAGTTGAAAAATATAATTATACAATTGAAAATGCAATGCTATAATGTAAAGTAGAATGTTATAATGATATGTTGGTTATGATGTGATATGTTGATATTTTGTAGTTTGGTAATTTTAGAAAGTAAATGTTATACTGGAAAGTAGAATGCTATGATGATATGTTAATTATGGTTTGATATTTTGATATTTTGTAGTTTGGCAATTTTTGGAAAGTAAATGCTACAATGGAAAGTAGAATGGTATAATAATATGTTGATTATGGTTTGATATGTTGATATTTTGTAGTTTGGTAATTTTTGAAAAATACAATGCTATAATGGAAAGTAGAATGATATAATGATATGTTGGTTATGGTTTGATATATTGATATTTTTGTAGTTTGGTAATTTTTGAAAAGTATAATGCTATAATGTAAAATAGAATGGTATAATGATATGTTAGTTATGGTTTAATATTTTGATGTTTTGTAGAATGGTATAATTATAATGCTATCATTATATGTTGGTAATATATTTTGTTTTCTTTGTAGTTGAAAATGCTGCAAACAATACTAAAGGACCCGACCTGTTCGACAGTATTGGAATAGTGGTTTCGCTCATTGCCGCCACCAAATAATGAAGGAAATGATGAGGATGACTAGTTACTTTAGGATTTTATGAAATATTTTGTAATTTGGAAGAATACTTTAGAATGCGGTATAGATTAATATTTTGGATTGGTTGTGTATGGATTAATATTTTGGATTGATTGTGTATGGATTAATATTTGTATAAAAAGTTATCAGATTTTATAAATACTATATTGTTTTTTTTTAATTTAATCTTAAATAAATAAATAAAAAAAAAACCAAAACTGTTTTTGTAAGGACATCTTTTGTGGCGACGTACACGTATTAGCGGCGACAAACTATTAAAGGCGACGAACACTATTACCGGTGACACATCATTAGCGGCGACCTTCATCTTTAGCGACGACTACAGTTGTATTAGCGATGAAGCGTTGCTGGCGATGCATTTGCAGCGATGCGGCGACATCCCGATCCTTTAGCGACGACAGGGGTTGCCGCTGTTGCCGAGTTAATGGAATTACTCCTTGATCATTTGAAAATACTTACTTTAATAAGTAATTACGGCAATAAGTAATTCGATCACAAAATTTAATAACTCACTGAAATATCAACAACAAAATATGAGTACGTACTCTCATGACCCTTTTCTTTTCAATGGATCACATTGAACTTTTTTTTTTTTTTTTTTTTTTTTTTTTTTTTTTGTTCTTTACGCCCGAACCATTACAATTTACAATTTCTTTTTCAAAGTACAATTTAGGTACTACGTTTGTAGGTAAATTAGAATTCATGATTGTATGCTTGCATTCTCTTTTTCAGTAGACACTTTTTTGGAATATTTTAAGTAACATTCGAAAACACTATATAGAACTCCATTAACTATTCTTTACGAGGACGAACTTGGTCCAGTGTGTATCTCAACACTAGTATTCGTAGATTTGGGACTCTCTTGCACCGGAAAACGTATTGCATCGTCAATCTCCAACTGCTCAGGATTAACAATATCGATCTCTACATGATCAACTATATGGTTAACATTGTCCATTTTACGGTTGTAATTGTATAAGATTGTAGCACGACAAATCGGGCAAGTTGAATGCGAGTGCAACCACATGTCTATGCATTCGACATGAAATGCATGCCCACATACTGGTAATTTCCTTCCGATCTCTTCTTCTTGAAAAGCGCTCAAACATATAGGGCACTCTAAAACGTAGTTACAGTCAACCGATGGTGGTAATCTATGAATGTATAGTGGTAATGATGCGATGACTGAGGAGGGAAGGCCCAACCTGGTGGTGGATCGACGGTGCAATCTGGCGGGTCTTGATATGTGTGTAAGGGTGATGGTGGTTGGGGTACGTGGGCGGGCTTGGGATAAGAACCAACGGGCGTAGAGGTGGAGGAGGATGACGAAAAGTACAAAGAGGAGTAAGGATACGATGGTTAGAAGCATGGCGTCGGTGTGGTGAGTAAGGGAGGTGTGATGGTGGAGGAATGAGCATTGTGGGTTGTGGTTGTGAAATAGTGATGGTAAGTGACAAAAGAGCGGTGGATATGGGATTTTGTGTTGGAAATTAAAGTTGTCGGTTTGTATGGAGAACATGAATACTATTTGTGTTTTAGTTATGTTTTATATGTACAAGTACGACTTCTCTTCCGATTTTAATGTTTAAATAAAGGGCTATTCACATGACCATGACTACGGACTACGTTAAAATCTAAAAAGTAACCGGACAAATCCTATATTTTTAGAGAATTAAAAAGAATTTGCGCTTTTGAAATGAAATACTAAACTTTCACAAGTTTGATTGGTTTTTCTTTTTATTAGAATTTTTTTATTTTTTATATTCTTACTCTAATATGGTTTTCAAATTTGACAAAAGGCCCTAAAGTTTATAATTTTTTTTGGTATTATATTAAGTTTGTTTTTTTATAATTTGACAAGAAAGTTTTTAAATTTGTCTAACTTTTGTGAGTTTTATCCTTATAAATCTATTATTATAGGTAACAAAGATAAAAATAAAATCCTTTTTAGTAAAGTTAGGACATTAGCGAATAAAAAAATCATCACAAGAACAAAATTTATCGAACTTAAATATTTTTATGTAAAAAATTGAATTAAAAACTATAAAATTTTACAAAACTTTTAATAGTCATATTATTCAATAAATATGTATGAAAAGTAAAAAAAAAAAGTATATATATATATATATATATATATATATATATAATAATATATATATATATATATATATATATATATTATGTTTTACGATGTCTACTTGTAGCAACAAGTTTATTCAAAAATTTGTAAGACTTCTTTGGTTGCCACCTAGGACAAACAGGGTCAACCAATTACACATTATGAACCATATATTAGAGTTATCGGGCAAGAATTATTTGATTTAAACTATAAAATCCTTGAATCTTATTTGGTTTTCCTTGTTCGGTTAATTCGATTAGGTTTTAATTTCGAGTTACTGGTTTCCTTTATTCGACTTAGTGGTTTTGGGATGGTTTGGAAAAAAAACGACATAAAACCGAAAATCAATCTTAAAATAAATCGATCTTAAAACCGAAAATCGATTAAGAATTTGAGAATAACATATATGTATATATTATATTAAATAATTAATATTACTCTCCTTCATAGATTAATACTTGATTGCTAATACTTGATTTTAGTTTTCTGTTCATGTTTTTCTAATTTAAGACCCTTTCACTCAACATACAACTGACATCTACTTCCTCGATCTATCATTCCCCATCTCACAAGTCACAAGGATTCATCTTCAATGTTGTCTTGCCTTTTGATCTCGAGTGGTCCTCATTAGGGTTCTCCCTCCCATGTTGTCGTTATTCCCTACTGCCAGCAGTCAACAAGGGTGTGCGACTCACTTAGTGCCATTACTCTTAACACTTTCATTTCATCAAACACTTATTTAATCCTAATCATCATTTTCTTCTCCTCATTATGTGTTTGCTAGGGTCGAAGACATATTGTAATGAGTCGAAGTCTGTACCCTTCGTATATTTTGTAATGTATTTACTAAGGTGTCTAGTATTCGAAGCGTAATGTCTATGCCTTAGTATTTTTTGTATACTTTCATGTTTCCTATAAATAGGGACTTTACTTAGAGTTAGATAAGATTCTTTACAGAACTTGTTTTTTTATTCCCTGTAAAACTTTAGAAGTATAATAGAGCTTAAACAAGATCATATTTGCATCTCGTGTTCATTCCATATCATTTTTAGTTTGATATGATTCTCTTTACTCAATTATCACTTCAGCAATTGGTATCAGGGCATGAATCATTATTGCGATCTGATTTTCAGCTGAATCTTTTGTTTTTGAAATTGTAAAATTTGGTTCAAAAGTTTTCGCATTGTTAGATTCAGAAAATAATCACGAATCATAAGTTTTGATTTGATTCTGCATTGAATTTGCTTAATCGAGTGTTATTTTTTTAATTTTTGTTCAATTCATCTAGTCAAATACAAATTTCTTCAAGTGTTCTGAAAATTCATATCCGTACAACAATGACAAATTTCAAAATGAACACGATGATTTTTTTCTCGCATCTGTTATGATCTTCTACTAAAATTCCAATGCTGATTCCAGAATATTACGACCAATGGGCTGATCGAATGGATGGTTATCTAAATGGTTTAGATGAAGAACTATGGAGTTGTATCTCAGGAACTGCTTAACTTCCATCAAATGTTCAAAACACTGGATCTCGAATTCCACTGCTGTTGTTGATGAACAATCTGCAAGAATGATGAAAAATTAGAAACGATATTTGAGGGAATTGAGAGGTGCACTACCACCAGTAGTTTACAATTACGTTTGTGGTTGTAAGAGTGCCAAGGAGATCTGGAATACTCTCAAGGAGAAATATCAAGGTAGCAAAAATACGAAAATCAACTCAATGAAACAATGTTTGGTGGAGCTGAAAGAATTCAGATTGAGGGAGAATGAGACAATTAAGGTCTACTATGATCACTTCATCGAGCTGATATATCGATGCAATCAATATGAAATCACAGGGTCTGCAATGGAATTTAATCTTACATTTTTAATGGGACTTCGAAAAGAATGGAGGAGCGTAAGCATGATGGTGAAGAATCAGCAATGTTTCGAGACATCTTCTTTGAATGATTTGTATAATCAACTGAAAACCCACGAAAGTGAGGTTAATGAGATGGTGGAAGAGTCGAAGCTAAATCTAGGTGGTCCTTTGGCACTTGTCTCGAAAGTAACTAAAAAAGAAACAGTTGAAAGTGGTGATTCAGCTGTTGAAGAGGGGCTTTTAATGAATTCGGATGATGAAGCAATTGCTTTCTATTCGGATAACAAAGTCAAAAATTTATTCAAGAAACCGTCCAATCCGAAGTCAAGGCAGAGTGAAGGAAGAGGAAATTTTGTTAACAAAGTTGTTGGAGAGGAGAAGAAGAAGATTGAAAAGAAAGAAGTGAAAGTTGCTGAGGACAAAAGAGAGAAGAAATTGAAAGGAGATTCAGGAGTAGATTTTCACTACTTTAATGGAGCAAATCATCTTGCGAATGATTGTATGCTTCGTAAGAAAGAAGAGAAGATGAACATGGTGAAGGATGAGGCGTACTACACGAATAGGCTGGAAGAAGTGATAGCGAAGGCGAAAGGCATGTCTTTGGTGGCTAAAGGTGAACAGGAAGAAGATGGTACTTATCAGATCTAGTCTTCGGGCTCAGATGAAGATAAAATGCGTAATCCGACTCATGGTGCCATGTATGCGAAGTTCGAAGATGATTCTGACGAAGAGATCACAGGTCGGTGCTTTGTATCCAAACCAGCTGATAAGTCTCCGATGACTACGAAGGTACGATCTATTCTTGAATCTTTCAATATTCCTTTAAATGCATATAATTCTGAAATTGTTTCTTTTGTGATGCTATTGCTTACATCGATTAAATTGTTGTGTCTGCTAGTAACGAAGCTAAGAAACTTAGCACACAATTGTTTGAGACACATAGGAAGCTAGATTCGTAAATAACTAAGATAGAGTGTTTAGAAATACAAGTTACAAAAATCATGTGTGATAGAGATTCTCTTTGAAGTGATGTAAAACTTTTATTAGCACAAAGAAACATCTACTGTAACTTGGCTAAAAGACTCTATGGAAAAGTTACAACATTGCATCATTCAAGTGACATTAGCAAAGAACAACATAGAAAGTTATTACCTTTTCTAACTTTTGAGAGAGAGAATGTTAATAACATTTCTTATGATTGTGAGAAAACAATTGCTGAATTTGATAAAATTTCAGATGATAGATATGCATATGGTATCGTAAAAATTGATGAATGTCTTGATTCGAATGAATTAGTTAAAATAGTTAATTATACCTTGACCAAAAATGAAGAAATCAAAATTTTGAAAAAGGCTGAGAACTCGACATATGACTTACAAATTAATTTTGTTGATAGATAATATTAGTGAAGTCAGTGAGTTTGAGGATATTGATTGTTCTCAGTTGTCTGTTAAGATCGATACTGACAAACCTTCAACTACGAAAGTTTGTGATCCTAATTTGGTTGATGTTTAAGATAGTCAAATAGATGACAGTGATGATGAAAATGATGAAGAAGTTCAAAAGGAACTTAACTTCAACAAAGGTTCGACAGAAACTGAAATTCCACGAATAGTCGTTGATCAAGTGTATGGTGACACTGACAAATTCGATAAGGTGTTGTCTGAAAAAGGTACTCACTATTGGAAACCAACACTGTGGTTTATCCAAATTTCAAATGCACTGATGATGTCATATTCCCGAATCAAGTCTTTGTTACTACTGGGAATGTTGAGAATGTAAAACCAGAGCGCAAGATATTAGTTCAAGAAGACAACAAGAAATCACCTGACGAAGGATTTTTTTTCAAACCAAAGCACTGTTAAAAAGAATCTAACAAAGAATTCGTATGTTTTTCAAAGACAAAACCTCAACGAAAATGGGTTAAGAAATCTAAAGTTGTGAAAGATGTTTTAAAACAAGATGTTATGGAAAAAGAAACTTTTGTCAAAATAAATTCAAAAGAATTTAAAGAACAAATTGATAAATTTCGAAAGATAATAAAATCTCAAAAAGGAAAGCACGAAAGAAGATTTTCTGGCAAACCGTTGAGTTACGAAAGACACAAAATGATTTTAAATTGAAAACATTTAAAAACACAAAAACTCACTTTGTTATGAACAAGACTACGTTTTTATCATCTTATTCAGACAAAAGGAATAATCCTTCTCAAAAGATGGTTTCAAAAGATCAGAAAACATCATTTTTTTTCAAGGGCTCATAATTCTTCAAAGAGATTTCAACTTAAAAAAGTTGAAAATTGTTTTTCGTATCACCCACAACAAACATTTTCTCAAAATCAAAACCTAAAATCAAATTCATTTTCAAATCCATCGAAACATTATCAAAATAGATTTTCTCCAAAAATAAATGATAAGAAAAAGGTTGTTGGTACATATGTTCAAAAATTTCGTCCAAAATCCAATGTTGATTTTATTCCACAAAAAATGAATTTTCCAAATCATTCGGTGAAACAACCTTCAAACTTTCG